CACATTTTACACTTCTATATCGGCCACCTTCGTGTTTTGCACTATAAACCTTAAAACATCATAAAAATAAATGATTCTTACCTAAATTCTTCTGAACATAAAATAAATTTACATTTGCTAAGAATTTGGTTGCACTAATTAATACCCGACAAAAGTCAAGTGATATTGGATTCTTGCATTTAATTTCTTATTTAAATAAAGTAGGTAGATAATCACAATCGTTAATATAATGCAAATTGCTAAAAACTGTAATTTGTTAAGTTAATCAAAGAATGCATGCATGTCAATTCTTAATTAATTTACGTTATCTTTTGACAATACATTGCGTGCCCTTCCTTCTTAATCCAAAACCAATGGGGGTAACGGATGGCGGTGCTTGGTGCAAGTGTCAGAGAAGTCAGAATTTTCATACAATGGACAAGACCTGTTTGACGAAACAGATGGCGTATTCGATCGTACTTAAAATTAAATTAAAATTAAAAATATAGTCGTTATTGGGTCTCACTCGTCTAATAAAAGTCAGCAATAACGATTAATTTTTCAATTTTAATCCGATTTTAATCTCTATCAAACACGCTCTTTATATACATGTATATATGGAAAAAATCAATATGGAACTTTCAAAAATTTAAAAATGTTGCAGGGTTGGTCGTCGCCCCACAACTTGTAGCTCTGCCTTTGGATTGGGTTATCTTCCTCGTTTTCTCTCCAGCATGACAATTAGTATGGGTGAAGAAAAGTCGTGTATAAATAAGAGAAATGACTGAATAATGTAAAGAGAGACTCAGCTCCACGCCAGTAAAGTCCGCTCCCTTTATAAAGAAACTCACACGGCTAACATTGCCTTGGAGCCGTTAGAAATGGAAGGACGCATTTCCTACTAGAAACGTGAAATAATTATAGTACATTGCATCTCCTAATACTAAAGTTACAATATATATATGGACATGGGCGGAGTTAGGATTCAGTGAGACGGGGAGTTAATGAGTTAGACAGTGGCTACTGGGTTGGACAGAAAAAAAAAGTGTTATAATTTTTTTTTTCTAGTAGAATTTGGCTTGGGCAGCCCACCCCAGCCCACCCCTATCTCCGCCTATGTATATGGAATATAAAAAAATTGAATCTTTTTAACTACTCGATCGACTAGTCAACACTCAGCTACTAGGTCAATTTCTCTAGCACTAAATCGACTTTAAGGCCAATATATGAATTCTGAACTAACCAATACGATCGAGTGTTTGTCTTCTTTCCTCCTTTAATCCTCAATAGGCTACTAGATGAAGAGGAGTCATAGATTGATAAGTAATTTGTTGTCTATAAGTAGGCCATGAGTATCCATTACCAATTAGAGACACCTTTGGAATAAAATTAAGGAATTTTTTTGTTGGGTAAAATTGTGCCAAATGGCTTGAATTAGAAATATTGGAGCCTATGGTTTTCTTGACACATTCTATGAACGGAAAAAAGATTAATGTTGGAAATATCAATTTACTCTTACTAAGTTTCATGAAAGAAGATATATTGAAAAAATAAAGTGAAAAAAAAGGCTTTTTTTTTTTTTTGAAGTGAGGTGTTTCTAGATTAAAAAAAGTATGTAATTTTTTTTTTATCAATGTATGTATTTGAAGTNCCATGAGTTCGACTCGTCAAAGTGACGAGCTCAAGCTTGTTTGAGCACGAGCTGAGCCGAGCACACGAGTTTTTTTTTTTTAAATAATTTTTTTAAAACTTTTTTCTTCACATTTTTTACAAGCTTGTGCTCGTCCCGAATCAGGCCCGAGCCATCCATGGGCAGAGTTTTGACGAGCCGACAAACTACTCGGCTATTTTGCCACCCCTAAATTAACTAAGGATACATGAATTCTACCTTTTGTAAAGTAGTTTTTTGAGGAAATTATATTAGGTCAACTAATTCTAAAACATCTTCTATCTATGCAAAATACGTACAAAAACTTTTTCAAATATGTTCAAAAGTAATTTCTAAATCTCAGAAGTAGTTTTTGCAATTTCTAAAGTATTGTTAAACAGTCCTAAAATATATCAAATTTTAAATACTCATTTATGTGGAAATGCTTTTAGATCTCATTGCTATGATTGAAGCACGATTAATATTTATTTATTTATTTATTTATCATATTTATAGTTTCGAGCTTGGTGGCGAGGAGGTTTGTGATAGAGTCGTGTAGTGAAAGGTAGTGAATTTAGAAGGCGAAAACTAGTTTGTGTATATAAAATTCCTCGAACTCCCCTATTTGAGTCCTATTTTTAGAAAAAAGAAAAAAGTGTTTTGGAATAATGATTTTGTTGGGAAAATATGTGGTTAAAAAATCGGAAATTTTTTTGAATTATGTATAAAATTATTTTATAAAAAATGTGTGGTTGAAAAAGAGTTTTGAAAAATGAGATTTAAAAAAAAAATTGGGAGCCAAATATTGAAATAAACTACACAAAAACAACGAAAATTACGACAAAAAACATATAGCACATTCCCAAATGAAAAGGAAATCTTTTTCATCACTCAAATAGAATATACTACTTTCATTACAAGACATAGACCTATTTTATTGACCATTAAAATATAGAAGTCAAATAAAGAAAACAAAATAAATACATACATCTCATTGAAGATGAAAGTTGAAAGAGACATATATATATATATAACCACCGTTTGGTTTAAATTTTTGAGAATGAATTTTGTGAAAAAATAATTTTTGAAGAGTATATTATCAAAAAATTGGGTAAATTTATTTTTATTTTATTAAAAGAATGTATAATTAAAAATATTTTTTTATTTTTAAAAGGAACTTTGAAAAATGGACCCAAACATCGACGTACACACATGTTAAGCCACATAATCAATAATCTTCATAAACAAAAGTTGCCTTTAAATTGTGTCCCCACCCCACCCCTCCCCTCTTACCCCCACTTGAGAACCTTCAACTTTTCGAATCCCAGATTATGACCAAAATACTGGTGTGAATAAATAAAGAGAAGCCATGGATTATGACCAAAAAACTGGTGTGACTAAATAAAGAGAAATTGATTCCCCTTTATCAGAAGCCATGGATTTTCTTTTTGAGAATAAATAAAATTTCATCATTTTATTTTCTTGGCTCATAAAAACGTCTGCCTTCGGTTTCTACGCGTGTACAAGGAACAATCTTTTTTCTCCATTTTAGTCCAGCTTTTTCTCACTATTTTCTTCATCTTTCTCTCAGAAGGGGAGAGAGAATTTGTGAGAATTTCGATAGGGATTATCTTGGGTTTTTTCTTAAAGGAGATAGCATGTCATTCTCCAGGAAAATGAAAAATTCAAGATCAGATGAATGTAGATAATTTTTTATTTTTTTTTTCATTTTTTTTTACGCTGAAACAGTTTTTGCTTTGTTGGTTGTTCTTGTTTTGCATTGAATCCAAGGATAGCTTCTCTCTTGAAATTGAAATTCTTGAATTTTTTTCTCTGTTTCCCATCAGGAAAATGATTTCTGGGTTTTGATTGAATTTCATAAATTTCAACATAGTTTATTTTTATTTTGTTTCTTAAGAGAGGGAGAAACACATTGAAAGACTTCTGTTTTTTAACGTCTAGTTGTATTCTGACTGTTCCTTCTCTTCTCCCATTAATTTCTTTCTTTTCTCCTTCTCCAGTTACTTTTTCTCTCTGTTTTTCCTTTCCTTTCCTTTCCTTTCCTTTCCTTTCCTTCTCTCCCATTGAAGAGCCAGGATGTTTTTTCATAAGAATTCAATGCAATCAAATCTTGACAACCTCTTGGATTACACAACTCCTTCAATCCTTTCTAAATTCCTATACAAGGTTTGTGTATTTACAGTTTTTTCCTTAATAATGTCTACGATCATGTTTATGATTGTTGAAGTTTTTTTAATATGATCTTTTTTTGTTGTTGTGCAGAGTGAGATGAGGAAACTTAACAGGCTGTGGAATCCATTTGAAAGAGAAAAAGTAGAGTATTTTTCATTGAGCGATCTTTGGAATAGCTATGATGAATGGAGTGCATATGGGGCTGGCGTCCCAATCCATCTTGCGAATAGCCAAAATTTAGTTCAATACTATGTGCCTTATCTATCTGCTATTCAAATCTTCACCAGCAATTCAAGGTAATGAATGCCATTCACAAATTTGATCAGCTGTTCACAGTTTATAAAAAGCTGCTGTGGGAATTGTTTTCACCTAAAATTCTAGTTTTTGTGCGTTGTTGATGTTAAAATCTCACTCTTAGCAAGTAAATGGATGGATATAAATTATAATGAAATAGAGTCGCTTTGAGGTCCCCTTTGAAATGAATTGGAGTCAAGGAGGAAGCTTTGAGCTCATATTGGTCATGGGTTGAGAAAGGGAATCGAACTCTGTGAGATTTAAACCCCCGTTGTTCCTCGATGGCTAAATGGTAGAGTGGTCCAATGTCAACAATTTGGTTGTAGGTTTAATTGAACTTTCAATTTTTTACTGCCAAAATGAGATGTTTATTGAGTTTCTATATGCTCAAAAAGCCGAAAACAAGCGAAGCATTTATATTATTTTGGCAACTTGTATGGTTTTATTCAGTATGGACCATTGTAGGATGCAAATTAAGTGGTACTTAATGAGATATAACATGGTATTGCTTTACGTTCTCTTTCTATTATTTTATCCTGAAAGCAAGATGATTTAGTTGGATTATGATCATATGCATAATAGGGAAGAGGCTGAGTCGGCATGTGAGACTAGAGATTCCTTTAGTGATTCATTCAGCGACGAGAATGAAAGCGTGAGCGAAAAGCTGTTGACATGGGATGGATGTTCCTCCGAGGAAGTAGTACTCGAGCAAGATAACTTCTGGCATCCCAATGAACAATTGGGTTATCTGAACTTTGAGTACATCGAGAAATCTTCTCCTTATGGAAGAGTTCCTCTGACGGCTAAGGTAATCCTTTTTCTTGTTCATGTTCGTGTACATGGTTCTATTCAAGACAATGATTGCTGATAATGACAATAACAGATAATGGAATCGTTTAAATTCCTTTTGTTGACAGGCATCCTTTTAAGATGTACTACTACTTTTGACAATGAATCAGAATTTTTCTCTCTTTTGTTTTTTTTGCCATTGCTCTTATTAGAATATAGAGACTTGTCTCTATTGGCTATTTTTCTACTCTGTCCCTTGATTTAATTACAAATTACTCTTCTTGTGTGGGATATAATTTCTTATCTTCATAACAATATGTTCTTCCTTTTCTACTTTCTTATTCCTGTTCTGTGCATAGGAAATGTGATCCCATCTGAAACATGATGTTTTTGTACCTTTTCAGTTAATTTGACGTTTTTAGCTGAAAAATATAATTTGACACCATTACTTATCTGCTTTCTAGATAAGGGGCATAGGACGAAGATACCCAGGATTGATGTCATTAAGAAGTGTAGATCTTTCCCCTGCTAGTTGGATGGCAGTTGCTTGGTTCGTCTCTCTTTGTCACAAACAAGCATTCGGCCAAACCCAAAACATCAACATTTTTGGGTCCGAGTTTCTGTTATTTTGCATGTTTAAACAGTCTAATGGATGAATAACATTCAGGTACCCAATATATCACATTCCCATGGGAAGGAGCAATAAGGACTTGTCGACTTGCTTTCTCACATTTCACACCCTTTCATCTACTTTTCAAGGTATTAATTTACTTGGTTCAATTAAACTGAGCCTTATATTGTGCGGCAAAGTGCAGTCTCACACCAGTATCCATTATGATTAACAGATATGGAACTTGAAGACGACTCTGTAAGTACTGAAAGGAAGAAAAGAAAGGAAGGAGATAGAATCTCTCTGCCTCCATTTGGTTTAGCCACTTATAAGATGTACGGTGATGTGTGGGTTTCTGACAAGGACGGTGAGGACCAAGAGAAACTGGTATCGTTGTTTAACATTGCAGATTCATGGCTAAAGCAACTAAGTGTTGATCACCATGACTTCAAATACTTTGCCCGGAGGCTTGGTTAAGTCGACAAACAACACCCCTTCTCCTCGTGTGGACGGGGAAGAAGGTGGATTGGATTCCCGAATCCTTTTTTGTCGCTCTGGTTTATTGTTTGCTAGGGAGACCGAGAAAATGAGTGGCCTTAAAAGTGATAATATTGTAGTTGGATATGACTCTTTTGTTAATATTTCAGCACTATGATCTCATAACACAAAAGACGTGACAGTGGACCAGACTCCATTTTTTGTTTTGAGTACTACAACTTCGTAGTTGAGAATTGTATGTATCTTTTATGGAATGAGATGAAAAAAGAGGGATGCCCTAGGGGCTCTTTAATTGGGGAGTTATTAAATGGTGTCATTAAATTATCTTGGAAAGTGGAATTTCTTTGTTTTTGCAATTTTTTGTTGTTCTTTTTTGTGCAACGTGCTTATTTTTTATGCTTTTCTAGCATGTTTGGTATGGACAATGTTAGACATGATTAAGGAAAAATAAGAACTTTAAGATCTCGAGTGTGTTTCTTACAATTTTTTTATTTTTATTGTTCTTTTTTAACATGTTTTGTATGTTGGTTTGGACAACGTTTGATATCATCAAAGAAGAATGAGAACTTAAAATCTTGTATGTGTTTTACGTGACATTAATTTCTTATGTTTTTATGATATGCTTGGACAATACTCAACATGATTAAAAATGAATATGACCCAAAAACTTGCCCGTGTTCCGCCCAATGCTCTATTCTATGTGTTTCTTGTGCTTTTCTCAATGAATTGATATCCTATATTTGGGGAAATTAATATATTTCATTCATATCAACCAAAATTTAACTCAATTTATCTCCATAAAAAGCAAGTAGATATTATGAGTAATGTCATTTGTAAGCATGACTAATGGACAACAGTCTAGGTGGCAATGAGGTCCATCAATCTGGATTACAAATATCATAAATTATTATTTTTACCAACAATAAGTAGTTAAAAACATAATCGAACCTAATTAAGGCCGAATTTTCATATATGGTGGTACTACACTTGTTGTAAATCTTAATAATATTATATACATAAAGTTATCTTAAGATATAAAATATATAGTTGTATAGTACTGTATGATTCTGTATAATGATTAAAAAGACGTACATAATATGAGTTGTGCATGTATGTATATTCGCTGCTTAATCATATAACGATGATGCACAATGTTCGTTAAACAACAAATGAATTATATACTCATCTACTTGTCATAGAAGGAATGCTGAAGTTTTTATCAAACGACAAAAAAACATCATCACATGAATATCCTTGTCTAATTAGTCGTAAAACGGATGCATATATTTTTTTTGTCAAACGACAAACGTGCATTGCTAATGCATGTGTAAGCACGTTGACTTAGTCTTAGAATGATAGTAAACTACTTTTTGCCTAGCGACACACATGCTAGGAACATGTGCATACTTGACGAGCTAATTGTATGATGACAACGTGTTACATTTTGTAAAAGAAACTATAAGTATTTCTGGTTAGGCACTTTAATGTACGCGTGAACATAAATATACTAATCCACTTAATCGAAAAATAATAAGGCATATTTTTTTGTCTAGAAATACTCAACAAACAATCATTTTAATGGATGTATATAGTCGAGAAATGTTGACTCTTCACTTTTTGTGAAAGGAAATACAAAAAATTACTATTTTAAAAAATCCGCTCGGTTCGGACCGGACATTTTGCCCAGCCGTTGTAAATCTTAACAATATTATATACGTAAAGTTATCTTGAGATATAAAATATACAGTTGTATAGTACTGTTTGATTCTGTATAATGATAAAAAAGATGTACATGTAATATAAGTTGTGCATGCATGTATATTCGTTGCTTAATCATATAACGATGATGCACAACTTTATGTTTGTTAAACAACAAATGCATTATATACTCATCTACTTGTCATAGAAGGAATGGTGAAGTTTTTATCAAACAACAAAAAAAATCATCACATGAATATCCTAGTCGTAAAACGACGATGCATATATTTTTTTGTCAAACGACAAACGTGCATTGCTAATGCATGTGTAAGCACGTCGTCTTAGTCTTAGAATGATAGTAAACTACTTTTTGCCTAGCGACACACATGCCAGTAACATGTGCATACTTGACGAGCTAATTGTACGATGACAACGCGTACAATTTTGTAAAAGAAACTGTAAGCATTACTGGTTAGGCACTTTAATGTATGCGTGAACATAAATACACTAATCTACTTAATCGAAAAATAATAAGGCACATTTTTTTGTCTAGAAATACTCAACAAACAATCATGTTAATGGACGTATATAGTCGAAAAATGATGACTTTAACTTTTCGTGAAAGGAAATACAAAAAATTACACCGGTCATGCCCTTGAATGTATGTATACAAATACATACATTCATTCACTTGTAGAATAATAATGCATAATATTTGTTTTAATTCAAGGGAGGATTTACATGGATTCATGCGGGAGCAGCCAAATATTTGATTTTTTTTAAATTTTTTTTTTTTTTTAAACTTTTCCCTACTGCACAAGTTTTTTTTCTTTCAAAATTTTGCCTCCTAACTTCAAGTCTCCAATCTCATTCTTTCACAAAATTATGGAGCCACTGTTGATAAAAATGTTTGTCATGGACTTATGGTCCTTATAGGCCTTTTTTTTTTTTTATATGAATTTTATCATTGAACATTGAGCTGACTTATTTGTTAGAAAAATGAGTTCGTGCTCTCTGCTTAATAAATTAAGTTCTTACTCTATAATTTTTCAGCATTATTAAGTCTTCTATTAGTTCTCTATCCAAAATCATGAAATTCATAATGTAAATATATAAATGCAGTATTTGTATTTTTGTTAAAGACATTTGTGCCAATTTTAATTCCAACTTTGATTTCACTTTCAACGTAAGCAATGACTTGCCTAACTTGGTGATTTTGAATTTTATGGAATACTGAAATTTATTGTTGAATTTTTGTTTTTATGAATTTGATTCTTTCTATTGTGATCTATATGGAATATGCGGACTTTCATTTGGCTATTGAAATTAATTTTGTTTTCATGGTCAGAATTATTATTTGGAATAAATTATCATTCATTTATTTATTAAATTTCATGTCAAATAATTTAAAGGAAAACCTCCATTTTTGAGTGAAAAGCAAAATATTGGTGTAACGAGCGTTCAAGAGAAAAAAAAATATTTAGGAAAAATTATTTATAAATTCATTTTTTACCACACAATGAAAATTGTTTCATTGTGTGGTTCCATCACTGCATGGATGGCTAGTGTACGTCTATACTCATTCATTAGGACAGAGAATAATAATGCATAAATTTTGCAGAAAGACGGTACGAATATGGACGGAACCGAATTATAAGTCGGACTAATACGTAAAAAAAATAAAATTACACAAGAAAATAAATAACTTCTACTCAAAGAAAATGCAAACATTATCGGACACCTGTCATGAACTTGTATGTACACATGCACTATATATGCCAGGCCACTTAGTCGTACAATGATAATGCATTTAGTCAACATTATCTCGTGCACATACTCATCGACTTAATTGTCAAAGTGATGATACATAAATAACAAACATGCATTGCCCAATGTACTCTTTTTCCTTCCCTAAGGGCTTGTTTGTTAAAGATTTTTTCAAAATCATTTCAATTACACTTTCTATGAAACTCTCTGCAAAAAAAAAAAAAAACAAAAATGTTACTTGTACATCAAGGTGTACATCACACTCTGCCGAGCGGGCTCGGCTCGTGCTCGACCTCGTTTTTTGACGAGCTCGAGCGGCTCGTGGGCGTGAACAGTACGAGCCGACGAGGGGCTCGGCTTGTCATAGAAGGAATGCTGAAGTTTTTATCAAACGACAAAAAAACATCATCACATGAATATCCTTGTCTAATTAGTCGTAAAACGGATGCATATTTTTTTTTTGTCAAATGACAAACGTGCATCGCTAATGCATGCGTAAGCACGTCGACTTAGTCTTAGAATGATAGTAAACTACTTTTTGCCTAGCGACACACATGCTAGGAACATGTGCATACTTGACGAGCTAATTGTATGATGACAACGTGTTACATTTTGTAAAAGAAACTATAAGTATTTCTGGTTAGGCACTTTAATGTACGCGTGAACATAAATATACTAATCCACTTAATCGAAAAATAATAAGGCATATTTTTTTGTCTAGAAATACTCAACAAACAATCATTTTAATGGATGTATATAGTCGAGAAATGTTGACTCTTCACTTTTTGTGAAAGGAAATACAAAAAATTACACCGGTCATGCCCTTGAATGTACGTATACAAATACATACATTCATTCACTTGTAGAATAATAATACATAATACTTGTTTTGCAAAACAACACTCGTCCACTTAATTTGTTTGACGGCTTTTTGTCAAACAACAAACATGGATTCAAGGGAGGATTTACATGGGATCAGCCAAATATTTGATTTTTAAATTTTTTTTTTTTACTTTTCCCTACTGCACAAGTTTTTTTCTTTCGAAATTTTGCCTCCTAACTTCAAGTCTCCAATCCCATTATTTCCCCATGGTCTAGGTTTGTTATTTTTACCAAATAATTCACCCTTTTTTTAAATTTTTTACTTAGCTCATCTGTACCGAATCCAGCTAGCAACCACGTTTTTTCTCCACCTCAACATTAGAGGTCTCAAGACCCCACGATTTGAACCCCTGTCCTTTTTTTACTGACTCTACTGTTTTTAGAATTGGTGAAATATTTTTATTTTTTTTTTCCTATTTTTCCCCAAAATTATGGAGCCAACTGTTGATAAAACTGATTGTCACGGACTTATGGTCCTTATAGGTTTTTTTTTTTTTATGAATTTTATTGAGGTATATGCTTGAATTCCTAGATCATTGAACATTCAGCTGACTTATTTGTTAGAAAAATGAGTTCGTGCTCTGTGCTTGATAAATTAAGTTCTTACTCTATAATTTTTCAGCATTATTACGTCTTCTATTAGGCCCTGTTTGATGGCCTTGATTTTTCATGAAAAATATATTCTATTTTCCCACTTTTTGGCTGTTTGATGACAATAATTTTACATGGAAAATTCCCCCCCCCCCGCCCCGCCCCCCCAACCCCCCATGCGCGTTATTTCCTTGTTTTGGAATTTCGGTGGGAAAAAATTTTCCATGAGGTTGTCAATTTTTTTTTTTTGGCAATAGAAACAAATGTCATAATCAAGTGTAAAAAAAAAAAAATTTCACTTTAATTGACAATTTTCATGTAAAACAATGTCAAACGAACACTAAACTTTGATGAAAAAATGATTTTTTAGGAAACAATTTTTTTTTTCCTTTTTTTTTTTTTTTTTTTTTTGGAATGGAAAAATTTTTACAACCAAATTGTGGGAAAAATTATCACTCTAACAAACACTTTCCATGTAAAACAAAGTTCAACGNCTTTCCATGTAAAATAAAGCCAAACGAATAGAAAATTTAAAAATTTTTCGGGTGGAAAATTATACAAATCAAACACACTTAATTATCAATTCCCTGCAAAATATTTTCTAGGCAATTGTTTTCCCTGAAAATCATTTTCCTTCCACTCATTTTCCACCATTGCAATCAAACGCACCCTTAGTTCTCTATCTATCTAGATGTATGTTTTGAATATGTTTATCCACAATCATGAAATTCATAATGGAATTATATAAATGCAGTATTTTTATTTTTGTTAAAGACATTTGTGCCAATTTTAAGTTCCGACTTTGATTTCACTTGTAAGCAATGACTCGCCTAACTTGGTGGTTTCGAATTTTATGGAATATTGAAATTTATTGTTGAATTTTTGTTTTTATGAAGTTGATTGTTTCTATTGTGATCTAAATGGAATATTCGGACTTTCATTTGTCTATTGAAATTAATTTTGTTTTCATGGTTGGAATTATTATTTGGAATAAATTATCATTCATTTATTTATTAAATTTCATGTCAAATAAATATGAAAAAATAATTTAAACGAAAACCTCCATTTTTGAGTGAAAAGCAAAATATTGGTGAAACGAGTGTTCAAGAGAAAAAAAAATATTTAGGAAAAATTATTTATAAATTCATTTTTTACCGCACAATGAAAATTGTGTGGTACCATCACTGCATGGATGGCTAGTGTACGTCTATACTCATTCATTAGGACAGAGAATAATAATGCATAAATTTTGCAGAAAGATGGTACGAATAGGAACGGATTCAGAACCGAACTATAAGTCGGACTAATTCGTTAAAAAAATGAAATTACACAACAAAATACACAACTTCTACTCAAAAGAAAATGCAAACATTATCGGACACCTGTCATGAACTTACATATGCCAGGCCACTTAGTCGTACAGTGATAATGCATTTAGTCAACATTATCACATGCATATACCCATCGACTTAATTGTCAAAGTGATGATGCATAAATAACGACCATGCATTTGCCCAATGTACTCTTTTTCCTCCGCTAACCCATATCTCCTATTTTTTACTATTCATGGGCATGCACTATCCAATTTTGAATGTGGTACAGCAGGGTTGAACCCTAGACTAGCCAACTCTAACTCCATCTAGTTAGTCATAATCCTAAGGGCTTGTTTGTTAAAAGATTTTTTCAAAATCATTTCAACTACACTTCCTATGAAACTCTCTGCAAAAAAATAAAAATAATAAAAAATAAAAATTCTTGAAAGATCTGTGGCAAACGAGTTTTAGATTTACTTTCTACATAAAACCTAAAAATAAAAAAATATTTAAATAAAAAAAATAAAAAATAAAAATGTGATTCATATATTTATTAGAGATGGTAATGGGGCGGGACGGGGGACGGGCTTGCTCCATTTCCCGTCCCGTTTATTTTATTTTATTTTTCAAAAACTTCTAATTAACTATTTTTTATTTTTAATTTATAGTTAATTATTTTTTTTAATTCTTCACGAGGCGGGTTCGGAGCGTGAGGCGGGGCACCCTGTCCTTGCCCCGTCCAACCCGTCAGGACGGATTTTTTTGATATCACTAATATTTATCTACCCATATAGCTCCTCAAAATTGTCAAAAGTCAACAAATGCACATTTGGAACTTTTAAAATGGCAATTTAGTCTCGATTTTTTTCAAAACTTCAAATGAAGTCCCATTTAGTTTCCTAGCAATTATTATCTATTTATATTAACTGCAAATAACTTTATCATTTTTCCGGTCAAAATAATACTTCAATATTTGCACCGTAAGTCGTTAAAAATCTAAAAATTGCAAATGGTCCAAACCAATTAAATCCAACCAAAACTTCCTACCACCACCGATTATTCCATTATTCAATAAAAAAGAATAATGCTATTTATAAATAGCATTACTCAATAAAAAATCAATCATAAAATACATTAATTACTTATAAATAATAATAATAATAATAATAATAATAATAATAACCGTTCATTAACATAAACACGTGCTTATTTATAGATTGATTTTGCAAAATGCAGATGACTCATATGAGTTGATGTTTTAGATCTATATATCGATATGAAGCAAACCCACTTCTTAGTTGAACCAACGTACTAGAACTAGTAGATCCATATTTTCTTGATGTGGTGATGCACCTTGTAGTTTAACTAGAACATTTGACAAGCATCGACTAAGAGATTGTTAAAATCGAGCAAAAAAGCCAACGCACAATCGCACACTATCAATAAGTAAGGCTTCACTCCTCTTTCTTTAACAAGATTTTCAAGTAGGGTTGAACAAAACTCCTGAATTGAATCGAACTAAGCGATTTTTTTTAAGTTAAATACCAGAACGGGTATCTGAATCGAGAATCGACTGATTTGATTCGGTTGGTTCTCGGTTCTAGACCTTGAATCGAATAAGAATCGAATCTTTCTAATTTTTATCTTAAATAAGTCAAATTATTATTTTTTAAATAAATTGTTAACTAATTAATTTAATCCAAACCCAAAATATGATTTTACTATTTATAATTTTCAGTCAAACCCAACTTAATCAAGTAGACATAAGTTTTACCCAAATCTCTTATTTTACCTAGTATCATTTCTACTGTTCTATTATTGTGAATTAGCCATCTTCCTTTTTCCTGTGATTTTAACAGTCAAATCTATAAAGAACTCAACAAAAAGAGGTGTAAAAGATATCACGAGATTGAACTACGTTATTTTGTAAGAGTTAAGATTGAATATGTCATAATCGAAGTAATGTAGTGTTGTTGTAATATAAAAAAAAAAATAATTATTGTACGAAATCCTGGAACTGAATAGAACCGAATAGAATCGAATCCGAATGATTCCATAATAAAATTTAGACCCGACGATTTTATTTACTAAATACCCGAAAATTTCGAGTTTAGTTCGATTATAAAGACCATGCACACCCCTATTTTCAAGGCAAAAGGGCGTTGGAGCATCATTTTAAGGTGTACCTCTCATTTTAACGGGGGGAGAAGAAAATTAACTAAAACTTATACTTCTCGAATCCTTTTATTTTAAAGAAACCAACTAATAGACTCAATTTGGTGCATTCAATGTTATAAGGCTCAATGTGTTCAACTCTAGACTTATTAGTCATGTAATATGTGATATTTTTTCTGAAAGCTTGATATAACACTATGATGTTATATGAAATATCATGTGTATATTCACAATATACAAATAGTGAAGTCCTATGATGATCGAATCAGCGTTTTGCTCCAATCGAGCGTCTGTAAAATATAATTCACCGATGGTTTCGTGTTAAGAAAGTCTAATCTTCCCTTGGATTGCATAAGGGCTTGCATACTACCGCCAAGGAGCGGTATGTGTAAGGTTAAAGTTGAGTTCGACGAAAACCCGAGTTGGTAAAGCAAAACAATAGCTTTTTAAGGTACAGATAACATGCAGGGGGACAAGTAGAGGCGTTGTTGGGCAATGGGTATTCGATAATTTTGCTAAATTTGTAGGGTAAGAATTTCAAGACGTGTGGTGTAAGGGTTTAGATCTAGTGCTAGGGTTTTGTTATTTGGGGATTTGATAAACACCATTTTCGTATGTATTTGAATGTAATCTAGTGTATTTTGTGCGGGTAACATTGCAGTGAATAACGGAGAAATCCTCACCGGTGGAAATCGAGAACTTCCGGCAGCGAGCGACTTCAATTGGGCCGAAGTGCGAATGGGAGAAATAAGAGTTCTGTACCACTCAACCCGACCGACCATTTTCGGGTGGGTTTACGAGGGGAAATAATATCCATTTCAAGATTTCAAACTCGTAACTTTCTTCATAAAATAATATCCATTTCAAGATTTCTTTTTTAATTGATCCCAGATTCAAACTATGCTATTTAGAGATAATCGAAAAGTTCAAACAAAATTCTTACGTCGATAACATTGTTACAGACGTTTATATGACCAGTTTCATCAAGAATGTAAAGCATATATACTCGTTAAACTACAAAAACTGTCAACTACTACAAGAATCACCAATACAAACAACGAAAGAAAAATTGTTTAGGCTGCTACTTGAGATGTGACAACCTCTTCCCAATATTCATCATGCGCACTTCGTTGTCATGTCGGAACTTTTATTCATCTGCTTGCCTAAAAATCCAAAAAGAAAAAAAAAATAATAATAATATTGTAGCTTTAGTATTTCCTCCTGACTAACAAAAGAAACATCAAATGAGTAGAACTCCCAAAGATGGCAATGGGCATTCCTGCTCTTCAGCATTAAGAATTTAATCATTCCATCTGAAAAGATTTTCCAAAGTCAAACAGACTTCTGTAAACAATATTGTATGCATTTTTTCTCATTTACCAATCAATCAATACTAGAAAATAAACAGTATACTACTGTGTGAGAAGTTCTAAAATTTTAAAATGGTCAAAAAAGGCCAAGATCGAAGATGTGCGTTAGATGGACTAAGAGTTGGACAAGCGATGTGAAAAAGGACATAACTATTCTGTCCATCGTGCCTACTCCAAAGTAAGACAATACTAAATGAAAAAATGATGAATATCCAAACCAAGAGATCATGACTATTGGCATGTTCGGCATACTCTCAACAATGCTTTGATTAAGGGGTTTATTAGCTTCAGTAAATCCATGTAAAATGATGTTGCTGGAGTACAAGTGCCAGATAAAGGAGACAGGAACCAGTGTCAGGACTTTGATACCATGACCACTATATTATCAAAGCAACATATAATGTGCCAAAGGGCCCTTAGGATGTTCCTTCTTCTCTGTATAGCAGACATAATTCGCTTAAATGCATAATTATAATTACCTTACTGTTAATCCTTGTAACTGAAGAACCATTGTTGGTCCCATACAGCTGATCACCAGCAACATGAGTAGGTGGAGGGACATAATTCCTCAATAGAGGCACTCTTTCGGGTGGGTAATCATCATCACTTTCGTAATATCTCTCAGGATGAGGTCCCAAAGCTTTAAGAATTATGGCCATTAACATACTTAATACCTGCACATGGAGAACATATACAACTAGGATAAGTACCAAGAACAGTGATGTAAGACAAAATGTAGCAATTAACAAACTGAAAAAGATAAGAAGGAAGATTAACTTGGAAATTGCGGGTGCTACAGCATGAAAGCAATCGAATGCCTTTCCAAGGTGTAGAGAATTTAACTTTGGAAACCATGAGTCCTTTTATGTTTTTCTTGCCAACTCGTGTAGATTCTCAAAAGGGATCTTGACAAATTTGGACTAGTATTTGTGTTGATTTTTGGGAAAAAAATCCGCTCTTCTTTTCATTAATGAAACCTTTATGAACTCAAATCAACAAGACAATTTTTTTTGTCACGAGACTTCAATTTAATCCAAGAAAAACTATCGTGTTACCGACTTCTTCATTTTTCATCTTTGCTTTTACCTTTTCTATTTATTCGTTAGATGTGATGCCCCTTTTTAAAGAGGTAGCCTTGGTAGTATAGTGATTTGGATAGCTCAACAATATGGATAAGATTCTCGGTATACAAAATGGATTCATAATACAGATTGTAACACAGAACTTGAAGATGATTTTTATATTTAGGTATGATCAGTTATGTAAACCTATTAGAGAATATAGCAACAATAAAAGTTACTCAAGGACATCATCTAAATTTAAATATTGAAATAAACACAAACATCCATTAATTCTGATACTGCAAGACATTACTTTTCTTAATGCATGATGCAAACCGAAATCTGAATTTGGGAAGCCTCAAATCTTGATTTTCTAATAGGGCCTTGTAAACTAGTGTCAGTTCAGGTAAAGATTTCAATGCTGAACCACAATCTCATATCATAACCAGTTTCCAACACCACCTTCCAGGATTTTTCATTTAAATGAATTACAAGCTAGTAGTTATGCTCTTTACAAGTAGGATCTTCCATCGTTGTTTTAGTCATAAATACAACCAACTGATCCTCATTGCAAAATATAGGGCACGTTTGATTCTTATTATTGTAAAATGAGAATGAAAAATATAGCCGTTATTAGGTCCCACACAAGATATAGAAATTCAAAATTGATGGCTTGTTGTGATAGATAACGGTCATATTTTTCATTTTTATGAATGAAAAATGAGAAACAAACGGGGGCATAATAAAGGACTGTGGACAACATATACTGAAAATTATGGAAATGCCTAACGGGCCATGGTCCACACATATCAGTGTATGATCTTGAGTACCTCAGTATTCCTCTTACCTCAATCTTCATATGTAACAAATGCATGATTAAATAACTAGGTTGATGACAGTGATAGTTAGTTTAGTTGTGAGGGACTCAGTCAGACTGATCTTCAAACTAATATTGCAATAAGAAATTAGAGAATGTAGTTGTAGTGCAAATGTACACGTCTACATGGGTTGCACAGGTGTGGGAAAGAGAAAGAGAGGAACCTCCAATGCGACCACTGTGAAGCCAATCCATTTGATTGTGTCAAAGTTCTGTCTGACGAAATCCTTTAACTGATCAAAATTCCCAGTTTGATCATCCGGGAAGTCCTGATATCCAGTTAAACTAGAATACAATCAATAACTAAAATTTAAAAATCCACAGGGTATTAATTTGAAAGATGCATAATTTGGTCACTCCCATGACCCACCTCCTCCCAGTCGTGGTTAAGAAATACATCTGCAGTCACTGCAGCTTCCAGCACAAGAAGCAGAAAGACAAAAACCACATACTGCTCTAGTTAAAGTCAACAACAAAGTGATCCATACATCGTTTTGATGACATTACATTCTGAGATAAACTTCAGGTTTTGGAACTAAAATAGAATCAATGCTCTATCATCATGCCAGTATGAAAAAGCAGACAATTTGGATTATGGAATGTACCACTTTAAAAATGGCAGAACAATTTGAACAGAAAAAGGTGACCGTTGATATATACTCAGATGGCACTCTTATTAAACTAGTAGCTGGGATTTGGGAAGACAAAATTCTTCAGTGAATAACTTATGATAAATATCTGAAAATTTCAATTTTTATATTTTTACCGTAGAATCAAAGCCTGTCCTGGTTAAAAGTGCTGACTATCTATCAGCACACATTAGTATTTATTTGCATAGAACTAGAAGAAAAGGTCCTCTTAAAAGACTTCAGAAAAGAGATAAACTTCACAGTCAACTCGACAGGGGCAAATAGTTTAACCTAATATTCTATATCCTGGAATCTGCATAACATCTTGTAAAAGGGTCAAAAAAGGTCCCATCAAAGCGGAAAAGATTGTGAAGAGCTTAATGCAATAAAAGGCTACAAGGCTACCTCGTGCAACATCTCTAACATGAACGCTAAATGACATTATATACAGTTTGATTACTTGTGAAATGGTTCAAATTAAACTCGGCTCGGAAAAGAAAAGGAGAAGATACACTTTATGTAAGATGGAAACATCCAAACGACAAGAAAGCCTGCAATAGTACAAAGTATTCTGGATGAAGTTGGGCTACTTGCAGATGAAAATGAAGATAAAAGATAGGCAGAAATCAACAACTTTAGTCTTTCCATATAAACAACAAAATCCTTATATCTATTGAGTAAATCTCAGAAAACTAAATTTATCAAGATAAACCAATTATGATTCCCAAAAAAATTAAAAGATCAAGTTCTGAACCAAAATAAAGAATAATCAAATGATATATATACTGAATCAAACTATTTCAATCAAGAAAAACATCAAATATTATCACAGACACTCAGGTGTGTGAGGGAATACTAAATATCTGTTTCAAGCATGACAAAGACCATTCTGCTGCATTAAATGCTAATAGGCTGAGCCGCAAACAATATACATTCTGAATGAGTAATCTTATTCACATTACATAAAAGAGAGACTAATGATGTTCAACAATACCTCCATCTCAGATCCTCAGATGATTGAGAATTCGTCAAGCATGTTAGAAACGATCCCTTATTTCAAAATATGATGGCTATAAATTCAACAATTTTCAAGGCCAGGCACAAATATCGGTAAACATTTTTTATTAGAATCACATCTTTCTCGATTCTCAAACATACTTAATACTACATGAGCAATTAATAGCATCAGCTGCAATCTTGCAGATAGAACTTTGATCATCCAGGCATCTACCAATATAAACAACTCACAGCTCTAAATCTATTACTAACAGAGCATGGAGTTTGTGTTTCACTTATCTATTAATTTCTTTAAACAAAAAAGATATGGAGTTGAGCTCATATCTGCCAAAGTTCATTAGTCAATGTTGCACTTCATAGATTTCTTATCATGCATATTAAACACTATATTACTACCACGAAAACATGGTAATAATTTGAACCATTAACAACAAAACACCATATGTTTCCTCATCTTAACAATTTACTTTCTAAATCTTATGTCAGGACATCGATTAATCAAGAGAGGATACAATCCACAAGCAGCAGCTATTAGCAGTCTCTGCAGCAATATGACCGGAACAAGTGATCAAACACAAAGTGACCCCAATCCCAAGTATTGTGTATATGAACCTGAATTCCAATTTCAAATAGTTAACCAAACAAATAAATAAAACAGTAAAAGCTTTTCCTTTTACGATTTTCCCCTAACAAATAAACAAACTAACTATCACATGAATCTTAAGCTAATTACATACCAAGGGGCGGAAGAATCGGAGTCAAGGTGTCGATTCCAAACCCTAAGCATCCAGAGGGAGTATATAATCATGGCAATGCCGACCATTCCTATTCCAGCATTCACCACCTTCAGCATTGATTGTAAGCAATTCCGTGCAATTGGAGCCATTTTACTGATTTTCTTCTGATTACACCCAAAACAACTACTTGATTAACGAAATCCTTGGAACAATTACCATCAATGGATTATCCTAACGCCACAGAATCTCAGTTAGGGTTACGCTTGTAAAAGCCGCCAAAGTTGAAATTTTGAGAAGGGCTATTTTTCATATCATTTTGGGAAAATTGCGGTCGCGGTCCC